GACGTGTTTCTGAACCATGGGAGAGATGACCGCAATCAAACATGATCGGATCTGGCCATCCACGGCTTTCCAGGCGGCATGGGCCGGATTGGTTTTTTCTGATTTGTCCGTGGCGGTGATGACTGCCGGCGGCGGTTCTGTGCTTCCATCGATGTATTTGAGAAGATAATTGGCCTCAAGGGCTGTAAGAACGGTGATTTTCCATGTAGGGTAATTTATGTCTGATAATTTTTCGGGAATCAGGGCATGAAGATGCTTGAGAAGGAGTTTAACGCCAGAAGGAAGTGAATCGAGAGGATCCACCTCGGTTGTCATGGTTGCCGCCGCCCAAGAGAAGAGAGGGAACGATCGGTGTCCTAAAGAGAGAAAAAAACCTAGAGAAAAGAAGATCTAGGTTTTCTGGCTCTTGATACCATGAAGGAATATTGATTGTATTGAAATTTTAACCTAATAAGATGTAATTAGGTTATCACTATTTCGGCTCTCCTCATCCCTTTTTCCTTTTTTAAAATATCGAATTAATGTAATCTAATTTAACTTTGAAAATTAGTCAAATTGACTTTCGAAAAGCGCAACATGACAAAAAAATTGACGACGAGAATAGTAAATACCGAATAAGATAAAGAATTGATAATTTATATAACTTATTTGAGATTGAGACGTAATTAGTTATAATTTTTGAATTTATGAGGATATAATGATAGACTCAATAATATAAATATCACATATTATTGTTATTTTCATACACTTACCAATAAAATAGATGGAATAGTATATAGATGGAACTACTAGCATTTTAATTACAAATTTGATTAGTACATTGAACTCTATAATAGCATAATATTTTCTTAAAAGTTCTATAGAACAAACAACTAATAATGAAATTCTTTGAACACCACCCCTACCCACCCAACCACCACCCTCACCCCCCAATCCTTATTTTTTTTGTTTTTTCATTCGGTGTACAGAGGCATATTGGAGTTTCGAGTAAATTAGAATCACGCTTTGCAAGATCTATTTAGAGTGGCACTTCCAATAAAATTTTTAAGACTATAATTTTTTTTTCAAATCTAATGAAAATTCTGAATTCACCGATATTTTCTATCGAAAAAACGTAGAAGAAGAGGCATCGTTGGGGCCGAGGGGGATAGTACTACAAAATTGTGGCGCAATTAAATGTTGGTTTGTAATAAAGTTTTATCAATTAATTTTGAATGCATGTGTATCGAAAAGTTTTATAATAAATGAGGGGTAGATATGATGTAGGGTTTTATGTGTATCGAAAAGTTGTATGAGGTTCCTTTTAAAATTGGGAAATTTTTCAAAATATCAATATTTTAGCATTTAAGAGGGCTCATTAGCAACACTTTCAATATTTAGTAATAATATCAAATTTTAGTTTGTTATGTATCTTATTTATGTTTTTATTATTTATTTTTATTTAAAGAATATAATTATTTAATAACAAAAGGGAGAAAATCAAGGGAGAGAATATTTCAAAAAAAGTAAGGATCCTTAATTTTCTCATCAGTTACATTTTCAAATAAAATTTAAATTTTATTCTTTTTTTTCTCTCCAGAATTTTTACCTTTTTAAAATTATATTCATTTCACAATATATTCTATTTATATTTATTATAGTTTTTTATTAGTTTGTATTCATTCCAATAGGTATGCCGAATTTATCTATATAGTCATTTAAGAAATATATTTGTATTTTTATATATTTTTTTCCCTATATAGTTAATTTTTCATCAAAATTCTTGTACGTATTCATTTCAATATGTATTTTATTTGTATTTCTATTTATTCTAGTTTTTATTTAGAATTTTGTATAATAAACAAAAAATTAGTATGATGAAAAAGTGAATGAAATATAAAATTGAAAAGGAATAATTGAATATTTGGTGTACTCATTCTTAAATAAAATACTTAACTAGTTGACATACCTTTAGAATAAATACAAATTAGAAAAAAATGTCAAATTCAGAAACAATGCAACATAATTTTTGAATGAATACAACTGTTAATTGTAAAAATACATACTGACTAAAATAGTATCAAAATTCAATATATATTTCAAATTTATGAATACAAAAAACAATAAAACTATGAAATACAAAAATAAATACTAAGTGTGGTACATTGACATAACTATAAAAAAAAACATAATACAAAATGAATTAAATATATGAAATACGATTCCAAATCTATGAATATAAAATACAATAAAATAATGAAATACAAAAATACATACGTAATGTAAAACAACAACAAAATTCAATATACACTTCCAAATCTATGAATACAAAAAACATCAAAACTATGAAATATACACAATCAAACTCATATTGTAACGACCCATTTGGTCGTTTTAAATATTAGAGCTTTTTATTTCATAAAATAATTTCCAAAGATTCTAAATGGAAATTTTGGACTATTCTAATTATAACTATGAAATAAGTGGGATAGTTTTAATAATTATTTAGCTGGTGGTTAAAGAAAATAATAGTAAAATAAATAGTAGGTCACTTTTATTATTTTTATAATTAGTTAGGTATACAATTTAGGGTAATAAAAGTTAAATTAGATTAATGAGAAGATATTATCATTCCTGTTCCAAACCAATTACTGGCGGCTCTAATCCTCCAAAGGATGGAAAGACGAGATCGGTCACAGGTAACAAATTTTGACTAAAATTATTCCTTGCCAATGTTGATAGTTGCAGAAATATAGTATTAATATCGTTAGTATGATATTATGGGTATAATAAATGGAAGTAAAATTTTAAATTGACAAATTTGATTATCGTATGCAATGTCTTTATTATTATGAATATATTACCAATATTTGTTGTCTAATGAGGAATGATGAGTTGAATTGGAAGACGGCTTCTGGTGGAAATTATTTAACTTCAATTCTTTTAGTACATTAATTGTATGGATGTCGTTAGTGAAGTAAGAAAATTATTTAGTGAAAATATGTAAAGGCAACACGTACGTATATGAGTCATTGATTGGTTGAGCTTTTGAATATAAATGATGAAGTTAATGATTTGACAATGGTGAGTGATGATTGGTTAATGGTAAAAAGGATAATGTGTTAAATTTCTGCATATTTTATATAAGCAGGTTATGGTTAATCTGTAGTTTGGGTTGTTGTTCGTCCATATGTCAGTGGGTTCGTAATTAGTGGCTTCCGTCTTTATGTAGTAATATTTTGTTCTCACGCTATTAACTATATTTTGATATATTGAGATAGGTAATTAAATATAAGGTATAGTATATTATATAAGTTACATTAAAGTTATGTTAATTGATGGAATTAAGACCTATCCTTAGATTTGAACTTTAGGAAATTGATTATATAATTAAGCGAGTTTTTGGGTCTAGGCTAAACATAGAATAATATGAGTGTTTATAGACTCGATAACTTATAAATTATGAATATATACTTGAATACATTGCATCGATTTGGAAGGTCAACAGAAAGGAAAGGCTCAAGTCCCAGAGTGATTGTTCGATAAATTGAGGCAAGTGGATTTCTAAACTCTTGTTAAGTGTATGAAATGCGTGTATGTCCTTGTGGTATATGTTGGGAGTAACGGGATTGGTGATGGGTTGACTTGTTCACATTGATTAATTCTAATGATGAAAAGAATGGGGATAACAAAAAGGCAATGTGATTAATTGTTTATGTGTGTTGTGTTGAGAAAGGGTTGAAGGCTTGTTGAATCATTGTTGATGTAACTTCATGTTTGTCTGGTTGTTAACTGT